CACTGATTTATAAATCAAAAATTTTACCAAACAAGTTTTTATTTGAATTTTTAAAATTTTTGTAAATATAAATAGAAAACTGAAAACGTAAGTGTTACTAAACGGCACCTATATAATTAGAAAGATAATTAAATAAATAATTGTGCCTAGACCGAAATCTGACTCTAACTCTCAAACCGAGAACCCGATTTGAGTCCATCTTCTCTCACAAGTCTCTTGTGCCAAGACAGTCGTGTGTGCCAAGTTTTGTATTAATCCGACGCCATTTGGTGATTTTGGAACGTTAACACCTTGAATTCTAAGTTTTTTATAAAACTAGTTTACCTAGAGTGAAATCCGCCTCTAACTCCCAAACCGAGAACCTGATTCGAGTCTTGTTTTCTCTTACAAGTCTCACGTGCCAAAGCGGTCGTGTGTGCCAAGTTTCGTGCTAATCCGACGCCGTTTGGTGATTTTGGGGTGTCAATACCTCAAATTTTTAAAGGGCTAGTTTACCTAGAGTGAAATCCGGCTTTAACTTCCAAACCGGGAACCCGATTCGAGTCCCGTCTTCTCCCACAAGTCTCTCGTGCCAAAGTAGTCGTGTGTGCCAAATTTCGTGCTACTCCAACGTCGTTTGGTGATTTTGGGGTATTAACACCTTAAATTCTAAGTTTCTTAAGAAACTAGTTTGTTTCTTAAGAGTGAAATCCGGCTCTAACTCCCAAACTGGGAACCCGATTCGAGTCCCGTCTTCTTCCACAAGTCTCTCGTGCCAAGGCTGTCGTGCGTGCCAAGTTTCGTGCTACTTCGATGCCGTTTGATGATTTTGGACCATTAACACCTCAAATTGTAAGTTTCTTAAGAAATTAATGTGTTTCTTAAGAGTGAAATTCGGCTTTAACTCCCAAACCGGGAACCCGATTCGAGTCCCGTCTTCTCCTACAAGTCTTTCGTACCAAGGCGGTCGTGCGTGCCATGTTTCATGCTACTCTGACTCCATTTGGTGATTTTGGGGCATTAACACCTCAAATTCTAAGTTTCTTAAGAAACTAGTTTGTTTCTTAAGAGTGAAATCCGGCTCTAATTCCCAAACCAGAAACCCGATGCGAGTCCCATCTTCTCCCACAGGTCTCCCGTGCCAAGGCGGTTGTGTGTGCCAAGTTTCGTGCTAATCCGACGTCATTTGGTGATTTTGAGGCGTTAACACCTCGAATTCTAAGTTTTTTAAAGAACTGGTTTGCCTATAGTGGAATCCGACTCTAACTACCAAACCGAATAGTCATACACAAATGAGAAGCCAATAATGGTTGAATGTGGCTTCATTAAAGGGTGAACAATGCTACTCACCATGCAATAGAGAACACAAATATCGAGAATATAGGGGATTACTTGAGTGTTTGAAAGAACGAATAAGAGTGATTTCCTAATGACCGCTAAGACGAGTTTTAATAGAACATTTACGTGGGAAGTCAAAAACTGTGGTTCAAAGTGAACACATTTTCTTTTAAAACCCCCTTTTTTGGACTCCCAACTCCCCCCCCCCCTCTCCAAAAAAAAAAAAAAGGGCCAACAGAATATTACAATAAATTCAACAGGGAAACTTTTATTAAAAAATGGAAAAAATTCTAATCTAGAAGTGCATTTGCAAACTGAAATACAAATTGTTCTTCAGTCAAATTCCTACCGATCATACCCTACTACATTGATGGTTACAAATCCAAAACATTTCGTTATCCCACAACATGCAAGAAATAAAGGGTTGGAGAAGATATATATATGTTATAGAAAAAAGAAAAAGAAAGAAAAGAACAGAAGGAAGATAAATTAAAATTAAGTAATCCACACAAATGTATCACCACAGGACAAAGGAGTCACCCAGTCCCACCAAAACATAAAATACCACACAAAAAACAAGAAGTCCAACAGACTCTAAAGTATAGTATGATACACTACCTTCTCTAGTATCAGCGATGACCTTTGAACATTCCCAATCAGAGATATAATTGATCTTTTCTGAAGGAGATTTACAACTGCAATTTTTTCAAGTTCTTCCACAACATGGTCAAGCTCTTGTTCAAAGAAGACAGAATACCAAATAAGGTTAGAAATTCACAGTTGAAGAACTAGAGAAGATAAAACCATGTCACTATATCCAATACCAAAAAGATTGAAAGCATATTGTATTTGTTAAAGTGATTATAAATAATTAGGGTTTCATTTTATCAGACTCCTTGCATACAGTATCAACATGTGCACCCATTAAAGGGGTTCATGCATTCAAAGAGATCATCCACATGGCAAAAACGTTTTTTCCTAACAGTCAACATGAACTATGTAGGGATGAAAACCTAGACGAAGAATGATATCGTATGCTTGCCTGCTGAATCAACTCCCTGCTCCAAAACTTTGATGGTGAAACGCCCCACTTTTTATTACTCGAAGTCATTACCAAATTTATTAACTTAATTCAAATTCAGAGATAACATGCGGAAATAAACTCTTGAATCCCATGAGTAGAAATAAATAACAATTCTCTCATCCAAATGCAAATTAAATACAACATGAGCATACTGAATAAAATGCCCGAAGGCTTACATCATTAAAGAATCAAAACAATGGTGTAACCTTTTTTCATATATGGCATTTCGCCAACACAAAAGAGGCCCCATGGCCAACAAGTAAGAAGATCCACATCTTGTAACACATCCTGCTTAACACCTGAAAAGATTCAACAACGTGGGATGAACATATAGTCCAGTAGGGATCTCTACATGATCCTCAACAATAACAACTTACAGATAGCTATGATCATGAATGCTCAATCTCGTACTTGAATAATAATGTGGCAGTTTATTTAAAAGTATACATAAGTATAAGCTTTTCTCAAACAGTCTATCCAATCAGCGCTATAAGCGATTCATCTTTCAGTTCATTTCATTAACCCTTGTTCCCAAACTTTCGCAACAATAACTTCTTAGGAAATCAATTTCTCTAAGCCCATTATCTTTCTCCTATTTTCCATACTTACAACACATTTTCCCTTTTTCAAAATATACTTTCAAACACACGATTTTCCTTTACACTTTCCCAAAATCTCACAATGGCATTTTGGTTTGTTTCCAATACATTCATATCTATACATGCATGCCTTTAATAGAAAGGAGCTAACAAATCATCAACATGTATATAATCAACAAATGAGGTAACTCAGCCCTCCAAAACTGCAACCATCACAATCCATGATATACTCAGACAGACTGAGACAATAATAATAAAGCTCTACTCTAGCAGTTAAGTCAGTTCTCCAGGCGCTAGCTGGAAGGTGGCGGTACCTTTGATTATAAGCGCAGTCAGTTCTCCAGGCGCTAACTGGAAGGTGGCGGTACCTTAAGCGCAGTGTACAACACTAATAATTACAATGCAGCAGAGCATAACCAATAGGTGTAATACATACACATGAACTATCAAGATACAAAAGCTACGTGTTAAAGTATATGAATACATAGGTGTGTGGAGTACATCACCTATCTCCTCCCTAACAATTATACGTATATAATGTATCTTAGCACTTCACTTGTAACAATGTTCAATCAATACAGGTGTAATGCATACAAGACAATTCAACACAACCATGTCATCCTCCACCGATGACCAAGGACAAAACCTGTAGATGCATGATTTTAGTACATCTATTATAAAGACTCAACTCTCATAAGATCTTAAACCCAACAACGACACTAGTATGATAGGTGAGGGTAAAACCCTTAAATGTGTGTATTCAACACTCAAGATACAACACTTCAATTCTCATATTCATTTTCTAAAACTCATATGGAGTTAACATTACATTACCCATTTCCAAGATCAACTTCCAGGATTTTTCCAATTCCAAAACCTCTTTTTCATTTCATAAAATCAATATCATTCCTTTCATAATTTTCCAAATCAATTATACAAACTAATTCATAACAGTAAATTAGGGTTTTTTCTTCTTTCAACAATAATATACTAATTTACAACCCAATTAGTCCAAATCACCATCAATGATAACAAACCCATTTTTAAGCAACCAACCCTTGGTTCACCTTCATGATTTTCAAACAAACCCAACATGGATATGATTTTCATGCAATACGAAACTACCACATGTCTATCTATAGACGAAGCATTGTAAAAGAACAAGGAAATCCCTACTTCAAACTCGGAGCTCAAAGGAAGAAGATGAAGAATTTCGAGATGCTCCAAATCCCAAGATTTTCAGATCAAAACATAGCCCACAACGAGATCAACACTTTTTACAAAGGCCCAAGGATAGGGGATCACTCCTACTAGATCAAACCTTAGAGAGAAGTTGGTATTTTAGAGAGAGAGGCTCTCCAATGGAGTTTTGAAAAAGTAAGAGAGAGAAAGGAAATCAAAAAGTGATCCAAAAAGGTGAAGTCCCGAAGTGATATACAAACATGTTCGCTCGAGCGGAAAAAATGACGCTCGAGCGTCAAGCACAAAAACTGGACCCGCTCGAGCGCAAGAATACTCGCTCGAGCGCCAAGACACAACTGCAAAACACACCCGCTCGAGCACGAAAGAAGGTCCGCTCGAGCGTAGATTCACCACCTCCAGTACTTTCACGGACACAGAACACCCACTTGAGCGCAAAGAGTCCCGCTCAAGCGCGACCCGCTCGAGCGTGAAGAAATCCGCTCGAGTGTGAAAAACAACCCTGCAGTACTTTTGCAGAGGCACATATACTGGAAGTGTGCAACCTCCACTCGAGCGGACAGCCTAAAAATCAAACTCCGCTAGAGCGCAAAAGTACCCGCTCGAGCGTACCACCAAAAATCTGGACAACGAGGAATGGGACCCAAGCTCAACCAACTTGTAACAACTCTGCCCAAAACATTTCTAAACTCACTTACTAAGAGTTAAAGGATGGAAATACAACACAGACAACAACCATCAACCACGGAACCGAGTCTGGAATAATAAAAAAAAGAAAGGAGAAAACCAGGATCGCTATAGATAGATCCAAAGTCAAGGAAATACTAACTTCACTTGCAACTACAACATCCACAGAAATGCCTAAATCTTCAAAGGTTGAGAATACCTGCACAAAAGTCAATTCCATGCATAGTGCATTAAAGCTTAGAAGAGCAATGGAACTAACCCAAGGACAAAAAGCACTTGACACAGTACTTAGCTCATTTACATTGGCAAGGAAGCCATATTGACCAAGCATGCGAGTGCTAACAATATCCAACATGGTCACATTCCGTTTCAAAACAATGCTAGTCAGTACTGCCTAGAATTAGAAAATTGCATGTTATAAGCTGTTTAAATTTCCTATAAAATAATGAGTTTCATTTACTGCAGAGGATGCTGCTACACACCTTACTCATATCTCTTGCTCTAGTGATGAGGGTACCTGGAGCTTTAGGGTTGTAAGAATTCTTAACCCTAACAGGAATATCACATTCTCTTGCTGGCCTTATAGACTGTGGATGCAGGACCTTTAAAAGCACAAAAACAATGCATCTAGCAAATTCATTATTATTTATCAAATCAAAGCAATCTATCAACTTACAACTTTGTCAAATTATGCAGCAACCAACAAGTATCTAGGATGCATTAATGAGTTAAAAACTTGTGTATACCAAAGGGTCATCAAAAGTACTTCTGGTAAAAAAAAAAGTTTATCAATTTCAGCAACTAAAAAAAAAGTTTACACGTCATAGTACCTCAAAACTAAGAAAATTTTGAAATAAATCATTTATTGCATTGATCCTTTTCTACTATGTTGGTGTAAACTTAAAACATTGAACTAATGCAATTTGTTTTCAAAGCAAAACCATTTTGTGATTAATCTACTTACACAGCTATTTGTTTTTCATATTTTGAATACTTGTATGTGGACAGTCCCTGCTTTTCATGTTTTAAAGATGGTACCTCACTTGTAGTTGATGAATTTTAGCTACTCATTTATGCCTCATTAGTACAATGAAATTGGTGTCAGTTCCAATCAATTCATAAAATTGAGCTATAATCTCATTTAATTGAAAAATTTTAGCCCTCTTTTTAACCTGTTGAATGTTATGGCCACAGAAGTGTCATGCTGTGACCTGTGCATCGTGTGAAAACACTTCTACATTCTTTACCACGGTGACAACCCTCACCTCTGATTAGTGCTAATCTATGATTAAGCATGATACGTAATTGAACAGACTGAAATTTTGAACTGAATGCATGAGTATGTTGCTTGATTGCATTTTCTATCTGTTTGTCATAAATTGATATGTTCATGTTTTTAGTTTCAAATTGCGAATTGAAGGCCTTATCGGCGACCAATTCAGAAACTGATTGGTGTTATGTGTTAATTAGAATTTATGTGATTTTATGGTAGATTTAATTAAAATTTGATTTGGAATGATTAAATTAGATCAAATAATGTTAAATTGCTTTAGTTTGATTATTTACCAAACTTGCCATTTAGTGGACCACTTCTACAATCTTGTTTGGGAGTTTAGCTTTACACCATCTCATTCATTTCATCTAGAGCAAACCGTGAGCAAGAGAGGGAGAGTAGGAAAGTTTCGGTTTCATCTAGAATTTGCTTGGAATTTTAGTAGAATTGAAGAGCATTTGCAAAATTGAGCTAGCACCCTTGAGATTCAAGACCTAGGTAAGAAATTCATCCTCTCATTTGTGAATTTGAGTTGTATCTTGCATGGTCCATGGTAAATTAGTGTTCAGATTCAAGAATTGGTTTAAAAAGTTGAATTTGAGAGTGAATTCATGCATGCATGTACACGTTCTTGAAATTTGAAGTTGTCTTGCATGAATTTCCATCATGCATGTCCATTTTCTAGTTGTAGTTCATGAATTCATCATGTTTTTGGAAGGATTGACTCATTTGATCATGTGTTAGAAGCTTTGAATTCAATTGAATACATGCATGTTAAATGTACATCTTGTTCTTGAAATTTGTTTGAAATTGGTGTTCAATTGACTTACCTTTGAGCTTGATTTTACAAATTTGATCTTCAAAACATGTTGTAGTATGAGGTTTCTAAGTGTTTTCTGGAAAATGGGCCCAAAAGGTTGAGTTTTGATGTGTTGAATGCTTGGTTTGAGCTTTGAAGGCAAATCTGGAAATTCCAGAATTTGGCTTTCTTGCTCGAGCGAAGGATTCCACACTCGAGCGACCATCGTTTGTTCAGAGCTCCGCTCGAGTGACAGAATGCTAGCTCGAGCATAAATTGCAAGCTCTCAAGTTTTTGGTGCACGCAGACGCACGCTCGAGCGAGCGTCGAGCGAGCGTCGAGCGGGGATTTTCAACATCCAGCATTTTTTGCATTTTTACAGACCGCTCGAGCGAGGAAGTCCACGCTCGAGCGACCCTACTGTTTTGACAAGCTCGCTCGAGCGAAGAAAGCCACGCTCGAGCGAAACCCCTATTTTCTGAAAATTTTGAAAAGTGTTTTAAAGTACATATTTGCATCCTTATTTCATCCTATGCATTCCTAGGCCTAGTTTAAAGCAACTTAATGAGGTTATTGATGTAGAACCACACCGAGTCAAGATAAGGGCTAAGATGTTAATCCCAAGTGTGTAACTTAGTGTGTGTTCATACTATAACTGTGTAGGGTTGGCATCCGAGGACGCTCATTAGCCGCTATTAGCCCAGTGCTCTGTGAGCAAAAATGTTGTAAAGATATGTTCAATTATGAATATTTTCTGAATGATCAACTGTTCTGTTTACTGAAACGTTATTGTTTAATGAACGAATGTTTGTCCTATTTGTAAACTGTATTCGTGGCATCCTTAGCAACTTACTGCTACTGTACTGTTACTGCTACTGTCACAGAGATCTCTGTCGGTTCCCAAGTTTGGAACCACTACTGTTTACTATTATGATGGCCATCAACTGACTATTCGGTCTGTTAAGACCTACTGTACTATTTTGTCTATTGGATGTACCACATATAATTGATATGGTTTCTAAATGACTGATATGACTGTTTAATGACTGAAAGGACATTCATTCTTAACCTCTTTACACAGTTGTTATTCACTGGGCTTTAACTTACTGTTTATATTTATATGTAGGTGTTTAGGCACCGGATCGATGTTAGGAGCGTCGAGGTAACTCTCTTTTTGTCAAGCCAACCATCGTGCCTCACTTCGAGGTTCCATGTTAGTCCAAGCCAGGGCTTTTTGGGGTGTCTCAGATCACCCTTTTGCTTCTGTTCTGTAATACTGTTTCAGACTTGTACTATACAGTTTGAAGAAGGGACTTGGTCCCTAACCTGAATTTTTGTACATACGATGTATATATGTTTTGCTTATGAATGTGAATATGTTCAGAAAAAATCTTTTTGCATACAAACTGTCACAGCTCATTGGACATATTTTATTACTATTTTGGCTTCTACCAACCCCCGTACTGTGTATTACTGTCTTTACTGTCAAGCAGGCCTTCGATAATCACGGATTACTAGCCGGTTACGGTGCTAAACCCATAGGGGCGGGTTTAGGTCGTGACAACCACACCATAAAAAACCAGCAAACGAATAATCTAAATTACATGTGACACGAATATCTCCAAAACTATTTTCATTCATATTTTTCATTCTTTATTTCTTTTCTTTTCTTTTTCTTCTTTTTGTTCTCTTCTATAATTTTTTTCACAAACCCAAAATAATAATTTATAATTTTTTTCACAAACCCAAGCAAACTTTGAAGTTATAAATGTTACCTACCACCATGCTTACTTCATTGATATGCAGAAATGAGTGTGCAGCATATGATTCTGTTTAAAAAGGGCAATGAATATTTTTATCAAGCTTTGATTCAATGTGTATGAACACTTTGTGTACAGAGAGTATTAAAATAGTTGTGCTAGTTAGTTTATTACAATTTCTAAAACAATTGTTCAATAACAGATTAATTTGCGTGTGTTTGTGTATTAGGTTTGGGGAAATTAAGAAAAGTTGCAAAACCTAGGACATCAACATAGATAATGAGGGTATTTCAAAAATTTGATAAACTGAATTGGAAGTCAAACATGAACTAATGCATATATGTATGTATGTATGTATGTATGTATGTATGTATGTATATATAAACATGTGTTTGCATGTTTGTGTGTATGTGTGTGTGTGTGTGTGTGTGTGTGTGTGTGTGAGAGAGAGATATGAGTAATACATCCCTATGCGTAGTGGTAGTACACCAAACTCCCGCATATCATCCCTATCACCGTCTTTCGTCCTCCTCCTTCTCCGACGTTGCTGCTGCTTTTGCACTCCGGAGCCCTTTCCATTCACATAGCAACCTCGTTTGCTGCTCGCAGTCCTCTGGCGCTCGCCCTTGTTTGCCGCTCTCCATTGTCTGCCGCCGCTTGCCGTCGATCGAGAGAGAAGGGGGTAAGAAGAGATTAGGGATTTTTGGTTTCAGGCGGGCAGAGAGGGGGGGTTTGAGATTAGGGATTTTTTTGGGGGGGGCAAAGCGGGAATGGGAAAAAAAAGGAAGAGGAAAAGAGAGGGAATGAAAAAAAAAAATCAAAATTTTTATTTTTTTGGGTCACAAATGAAATTTAAACAACAAAACAATGCCATTTAACTCTTTTTTTCTTTTTTTCTTTTTTTGCGACGGGGGTTGCCGTCGCCAAAAATTTATTTTTTGTTAAAATAATTTTTTTTTTGTAGTTAATGAATTTTTTTTAAAAAAAATTCCATTTTTTTTTTAGTTACTAAGATTGAAAATTTATTTGTTTCATTTTTATTTTAATGAAAAAAAAAATTTATTATTTTTTATTTGGTAGAAGTAGGGGTAACATTTTAATGAAAAATATTTTCCACTAAAATAAAAGTTAATTTTCTGTGGTCAATGAAAAATATTTTTCTGTAGCCCATTTTTTTTGGTTACTGAAAATCATAAATTATTTTTTTGTGGTAGAAGAGAGGGAACGACAGTAGTGGTGAAGGTGGTGGACAAGAAATGATGGTGGTGGTGGTGGTGGCGGCGGCAGTGAAGGAGATTAGTGGTAAAGTTGTGGTAGTGGTAGAGTAGATAGAGTGACAAGGGTGAAGGAGAAGTAATGGTAGTAGTAGTGGTAGTGGAGTGGTGGCGATAGTAGTAGTCATGGTAGTCGTAGAGGCGAAGTAGGGACAGTGGTAGTAGTGGTAGTAGTGGAATGACGTTTGCAATAGTGGTGAAGGTGGTAGAGGAGATGGGTGGTGAGAGAGAGATGGGTGAGGGACAGATAGAGGAGAGAGAGAGACAGACAGAATGATAAGGGAGAGAGAGGCAAAGTGGTTGCTAAAAGTACATTTTCTTGTAGTGGATCCATATATCGAGAGAGAGCTCAGTAAATAGAGAAGATGGGAGAGAGAGAGTGAGCAACGCCAACATAGTAGGGGGGAGAGAGAGAGAGAGAGAGAGAGAGAAAGAGAAAGAGATAGAAAGTAAGAGACAGAGAGAGAAGA